ACACACACACACACACACACACACACACACACACACACAGCCAGCCAGCCAGCTTCACGAGGCCGTACACTCTATATGCAATATTACAGGGTTCGACGTTCGCATTTTTTTATTGGGCTTAAAACATGGAACGAGGCCGAAAGAGCTGCCAAATATAGAACGTCATAGAGAAATTTGATTTCCAGCCCTATTCTCCACGAGGAGAGAAGATACTAAGAGAGACGTTCGCATTTTTTTCATTAAACAGTCGGGGCAGTCGTCTGGTTAGACAAGGTCACTAGGTGTCCTTCAAATCTGCTAGTCGGCAGCCAGAATTGCAATGCACCGTTGCCCACACAGATCCATCACTGCTAGAACTAATTAGATAGCGCGTTTTCCGATAAGACAGCTAAATCGAAATTGCAATCGCCTCTGGCTTAACCGCTAGACGTCTACGGGGAATTTTGATCGTGGAAGAAGTACCTACTGTCGCCCAACGGGGGTGAACTAAACTCAAAATGTAGAAACAGTACCTCGATCATTGCGATCTGATACCCACGAGTATAAGGCAACATGTTCTGTTTGCATCTATGACAAATACGACATACGCATATACGCTCTCCTATGACACTATTTGTCATAGGAAGATTCTTCCTATGACAAATACGACATACGCATATACGCTCTCCTATGACACTATTTGTCATAGGAAGATTCTTCCTATGGCAAATATTGGCGAGGCAACTTTGTCCCGCTTTACAGCTGAAATTCACTGCTTGCGTTCATAATAGCGCTCCTAAACTCCTATGATGCGCACAACACATACAACAATATTTATCATAGCAAGAATCTTCCTATGACCAATAGTGTCATAGGAGAGCGTATATGCGTATGTCGTATTTGTCATAGATGCTAGCAAAATAGGCTGAGTAAGCGGTGTACCTCACGCAGGTAAACTGATCGCTGTGAAGACGTCACCTGCTTATGTCAGTAGCGCTCATTAGAGGAACCGTGACGGCAACGATGACGATAGCAATAATGAAACTGGGACACACGCTCTCTCTCGCTTCCTGCCTCAATACCGGCGCTCACTGATTGGGGCATAGACTGCCCCTCAGCTGCTAGACACTGGCTCCGTCGGTCGTCGCTGCCGACAGGTTGACAGGATCGACATCTTAGTGTCAGTCTACATCGCAGTGACAAACACAGTCTGGGTGTATGAATGAACTAATAATAGCACCTGCTGCGGACAGCTATTACCGCTGAGAGGGGGATGCGGATGATGAAGCTGTCAATTGTTTATGTTTCATTTACGTGGGCGAATTTATTGCTGCAGGCTAAATAGGGTGCCGCTCCCTGCAACCGCCCAACGTATCACAATACAATAAAATACAATACAATACGATGCGACACGATGCGATGCAATACAAACAATACAACACAACACAACACAACACAAAACGAACAATACAATACAATCGAATACAATACAGTAGAATACAATGTAATGCAATATAACACAATAAAATATATTACAATACAATACAATGCTAATCAATGCAAATCCACCACAAAACCATCCAAAATATGCGATGCAAAGATATGCAATACAATTACACACAATGCAATGCGATACAATACATTAATGGGTAGATAACGCTGGCACGGTGTGATACAGACATGAACGTGATCGCTATGACACACTGTACACGGTGCGTGCATTAGCAGCTCAAGCTATCGCCACGGACGAGTTATTGAGTGTGTAAGCACTACGCATGCGCTGTGGCGAGCCCAGACATCATCAGCAGCGATAGTTAAAGCTCTCATCTGCACATGAATATCTTATCACTTTCTACTAGTAGCTTGGTGAATTATGTAGTACTGTGAATTTCAGGCCTGAGGGGATAGCGCATGCTGACTAGGAGAATCAGATCTAATTACAGTCACTACAGAGACCAGAACCTGATATGATTTTTGCACTCGCATGCACGTGCACGCACACCCGCACGCACGCACGCACGCACGCACGCACACCCGCACGCACGCACGCACGCACGCACACTACAACACACACACACACACAATCGACCACGCACACATGCGCGGACACTCACATATATGTTAAAAGCTCAGTATATAGATAGTTTACGACTAGCGCTGTAATGGTTTCCCTAACTCAACAAACCAATATCACAAAGTGACAAAGTTGTATAGCACCGAGACCATTTCTCACTTGCTACACACTTCTTTATTTAAACTTGCCGCGAAATAATATATATATATATATATATATAATATATATAGTGTATATATAATATATATATATATATATATAACGGCATATTTACGAATCTAGACGATAATTCTCTTTAACGAAATTATCCTCTCATCGCTGGAACGTTGATGGGTCCGGGTGACTGACTGCAAACGATCGTGCATGATTTTAGACTGGACTATATTCTCTGCCTTCTCTTACCGCGCCGGTGAACGACCCGAACATATCCCCAGCAGCAATAATCCCTATGGAAATAATTAATATACTGCGACCATACCAGTCAATTCAGATGATAAACTACAACATAAATCTCTAATGTTCCCCCCGAGCCACTACTGGAAATCTCCGCGCCTACAATTCAAGCTCCGACTTGATGGAGGAAACCCGCTTATACCGGAATCGCGAGAATCAAGCCGTAACTGCTGCCACAGAGGCAAGAACTAGGCAACGGCAGCAAACAATTTGTGGTCGCCATGGTAATAAGGCATTACAAGGCGCGGGAACGCACACAATCAGTCATCACTAATTTAGCTCATTATTCGATTAATCTCCTTTTCACGTGATCAGAAATCAACACGCGCTGGTGGAATTTGATTATGTGTTTGATGAAGCAGATCTCCCGCTCACGGCAGCACGTTGCTCCGTGTGATTTCTGGATGTTAGGTGAGCATGCAGCCCCCCCCCCCCGTGTATCACATACACTGCTGAAACTATATTAGGAGAAATACGAACAAAACCTTATAATGTAAGTGCCACGAGTAAATAAATGTAATTCTATTATTTCTCCTATCCTTTTACGATTCACTGATATTATCATCATACCGGTAAGTGCAATGTGAGTGCTGGCAACAATCCAGTTTACTCATTGCCTCTGTAATTTCTGATTCTGGCAAAGCGCCCTTAGTTCCCTCCTAGGCTGCTGGAATATTTCAGACGAACAACAGTCAAGTTAAATAACGTGTTCGTGTACCTCTTAATATTTCTATTACCAACTCCCACATAGTCTCTTCAACCCCACACACTAGATACTGTTCGCTACGATTATATTGCTAATTGCTAATTTATATTGCTAATGATATTGCGGGCGATACGTTATTTTTAAGCGAGTGGCTACACAGTTACACGTATAATAATATAACAATAGCATTATTATTATAACTGTGGCATTGAGTGGCTACATAGTCACACATACAATACATAATAACACAATTATTATAAGTGTAACTGTGGCAGCGAGTATAGCTACATAGTTACACGTATAACAAATAATAATAACACAATTGCTACGGGTATATAACGTTACAGAAAGTGGCTATATACAGTTACATTATATAAGTTACACTATATACAGTTACACATATAATACATAATAACACTGTTATTACCTCCGCCAGGGGCATGGCGGGGGTTATGTTTTCACCGGCGAGTTTTTGAGTGTTGGTTTGTGTGTTTGTGTGTTACCATGCACGTTTCAGTTCACTTCCGCTAGGTGCGCTGGCTGTAGACTTACAAACACGCAACCACAGGCTAAGGGGCAACCACAGTCCTCCCCCACCTGCACGCTCGCACTAATCCGGATCCAATTAATTATTTAATTAATTAATTAATTTTTCCACTTAATTAATTAATTAATTAATAAAAAATTTCACATTGAGAGAATTCAGCTGCCTTGGCGGAGGTCTGTGCTCTCCGAGTGCTCTAGTTACAAATGTAACTGTTGTAGCGGGTGCAGTGACAGCGCGGGTTTGCAGTATCCACCGCACAATGATCACACAAGCGATAAAATACCGAATTTCTAAAGCTTTGGACACACTACGCGATTTTTCATGCGATCGAGCCGGCCGGCTCGGTCGGCCGGCTCGATCGCATGAAAAATCGCCTAGTGCGTCCAGTGAGTCGCGGTAGATTTTCGAGTCGGCCGGCCGAGTCGCCCGATTCAAACATGTTTGATATGTATTTGAGCCGGCCGGCTGCAATCGCCTAGTGTGCCCGGGGGTCTGCGATTGAGCCGGCCGATTGTACAATTCATCAGCCAATCAGCGTGCGGAAAATCCACAGAGTCGCCCGACTCAGTCGCGTAGTGTGTCCACAGAATTGCCCGACTGAGCCGGCCGGCTCGATCGCATAAAAAATCGCCTAGTGTGTCCACCCCTTAAGAGAACACGAACATGAAATGTAATTTCATTTGGTATTATCAAGAGTAAATACATAAAGAGTTAAGTTAAACAGTTAAAATAATAATAATTTGTGATTATCTTACTCCTGGTATTATGCATATTATATTCGCTGAAATGCTCCGAGTGTTTCCAGCTCTGCTATGCGAACACCGGGACCCGGTTCCACAGTCGTGGATTAACTCTTAACTCTGAGTTAAATTCCTTAACTCAGAGTTAGTGAATTTAACTCATAGTTAACCTTAACTCAGGGTTAAAGTTAATCCACGACTGTGGAACCGGGTCCGGGAGCTTATCCCTGATCCACCGTGTACTGCTATAACCACGGACAAGCACCAACACTAAAGTAAACACTAGTGCTGACCATATAAATCATATCAGGAGTGAATAATAGAGATGTGAATAATTCACTCCTGATAATATACTAGTTAGACCGTCACAATTATTATTCGTAATTAATAATTATTCGTCCTAACTAGTTAGATCAGTGGTTCGTAACATTTTTTGAGTCATGGACCCATCTGAGAATCTGGTGAAAGCTACGGACCCCTCTCCAGAAAAATTCACATAAGCACAGAAACACAAAATTTTGCATGCGCCTGCATGGTTCACGGACCCCATGAAGCCCATCCAAGGACCCTAAAGGGGTCCGTCGACCACAGGTTAAGAACCCCTGAGTTAGATAGTGTCTCTCTACATTTCTATGGTGCTGACCGACGGTTTTCTCAGATGAGTAACAAACTCAAACTGACTGACTACTGAACCGCAAGAGACAAGCTGTCAGAAACAAGTAGCATCGTAGGATAGCTCGATCGCCTGCCATGACTAGTTTGAGTAATTGAAACAACGTCGGAGATCCTCCGAGAAAAAAAAGATTTTCAAAAATGTAAAAGTAAAATAAAAAATAAAAAAGTAAGAAATGGAAAAAATGAATCGATAGTAAATAAAATATCGTACTAAGGCGCTAATTACTAGCCGGTACATTTCTTATCTTTTGATTGCCATCATGGATAGAGAATGAATGATTCATACAGTGATACTATGCATCATTCATTCTGAATTTCTCTGTCCGTGTCGGATTGCACCAGTAATACAACTATAGTAATACACTGGGAAACACCGAGATTGCGAGCAAAAACAATGATAGTCACAAAGTAACCAATTAATATAACACTTTATTAACTATCACGTTCATCAATTTTCTTAAACGGTAAAATGCACGTATAGATAGATACACACACACGCACACGAACACGTACGCACACACGCACACACGCACACACAACTATTTTTACACGCAAACCCAAACGCCACGAATTCTCATTCATACACACGCGCGCACGTACACACGCGCACACGTACACACACGCGCGCGCGCACGCACCCACGCACGTACACACGCGCGCGCACGCACGCACGCACGTGCACACGCACTCACGCACGCACGCACGCACACACACACACACGCACACTCACACACACACACACACACACACACCACACACACACACACACACACACACACACACAAACACGCAGCACGCACGCACGCACGCCAACGCACGCACGTTTTACACGCGCGGACACCTAACTCTCACGTAAAAACTCCGTCTTGTACGTACCGTGCGCTAGACGTTATTAGCAGAGCAAGCCAGATGTTGTTAGAATGAAATTTTTTTTTATGTGTTAGATGTAATATGTTGATGTTGTTTGATGTAATATGTTGATGTTGTTTGATGTAATATGTTGATGTTGTTAGATGTAATATGTTGATGTTGTGAGATGTAACCAGCGGCGGGCGACGGTCGCACAGCCAGCCAGACACGTTACGTGTGCTATTTCACCTCAACAATAGAGATTTAAGCATATCCGCGAGAGCAGATGCGGCCTTACACGTTTTCGAATTGCGAGTTACGGCTAAGACATACTTGATAGCTAATCCGAGGCGTATTTTGAAAATACATAAGCAGGGGTTACTCTACCACTCGCCAAAATAGCCAATTGCTACACGTTTTCTGTACTGGCTATAAGAATTTGAGACTGGCTATTTTTTGGCCAAAAGTGCATGACCAAACTGGGTAATTGGCAACTCACAGCAAGCAAAGGTCCAGATTCTGACTCCCCTACAAGAATCACAGAGCTGAGATTTTCTGTATTGTGTTTAAGTAGGTAATTTAGAATAAAATTATGTGGACAAAAAATTGCTACAAATTATTAACATTGGCTACGAAAAAGTCGATTGACTATTTTTGGGCTACACATACTAATTTCCCAGATTAACCCCGGATATAAGCATTGACTCTGAGACCTACATGTCGTAACAGTAACCACAAAACCATACAAACAATCAAACAAAACAAACAATCAATCAATGAAACAATTCATAAAAAAATAATACTATAGGACAGTGACACGCCTCCACATAATTACCATCACTATCGTTAATAAGATTTCAAAACGATTAGGAAAAACGACCAACAATTACTGTAACAGAAAATAGACCGGCATACAGACAACATCAATACATCTGCAACGATCAGGCGCGACATAATATAGACTATATATATATAACTATATATAGTCTATAATATGATGCCCGTGGCAAGATTATAGTGCAACGAGAAAGCGCCCAACAAGAAAACATCTGAATTGAAAAATTCCATCAGGAATATAGTCAGACATAAATACATCTAAGAGGATTACAGTATAAAAGGAATACATATACCCGGAATGCAGTCAAACAGTTATAATCTGGCAGTAATGCAGCAAACGTGAATATAAAACTATCACGAATACAGCCGAAAAAAATACATCCAAAGCTGTGGACACACTACGCGATTTTTCATGCGATCGAGTCGGCCGGCTCGGTCGGCCGGCTCGATCGCATGAAAAATCGCCTAGTGTGTCCACAGCTTAACAGAATTACAGTTCAAAACGAAAACATCTAACATCTAAGGATTGCAGTCCAGCAGAAATATATCTAACGAGCTGGAATATCTTATCATCTTCATTCATCATCAACTGGAATATATTTAATAGGAATACAGTCTAAGAAGCATACATCTAAGCTAACAGGATTACAGTCCTGGTATGTACAGTCTACAGGATTAAATGGGAATACAGCAGACATGAATACATTTAACAGGAATACAGTCTAAAAGGAATACATCTAACCGGAATATAGTTCAGCAGAATGCAGCAACAATGAATACAACCATCAGGAATACAGTCCAAAAGGAATACATCTAACAGAATTAAAGACGAAAACGAAAACATCTATTAACAGGATCACAGCCCAGAAAGAAATACATCTAACCAGCATACGGTCCAGAATACACACACCTAACCCAGAATCACACACAGCCACGCGTGTATACGGCGCACTGACCTCTCTAGCTCCAGCGCCGCTCTGTCGGCGTCGGCGGCGACGACGTCCGGTACGATGCGCTCGATCGCTCGCCGCGCCGGCAACACGCACAGCTCGGCTCCGTCGTCGACAGGCGGTGGCTCCTCGGACTCGATAGCGACGGACTTACGCAGCGGCGGCTTCAACATACCGGCAGTGCGGTGTGGTCATCCTGCGGAGAACGATGCAGCGCGATGTAGCATGGTGTAGCGTGGTGTAACATGATGGAGGGCGATGTGGCATGATGTAGCGTGGTGTAGCATGATGTAGCATGGTGTAGCGTGGTGTAGCATGATGTAGGGCGATGTGGCATGGTGTAGCGCGGTGTGGCATGATGTAGGGCGATGTGGCATGATGTAGCACGATGTGGCATGGTGTAGCGTGGTGTAGCATGATGTAGGGCGATGTGGCATGGTGTAGCGTGGGTGTAGCATGATGTAGGGCGATGTGGCATGATGTAGCGCGGTGTGGCATGATGTAGCACGATGTAGCATGGTGTAGCGTGGTGTAGCATGATGGAGGGCGATGCAGCATGGTGTAGTGTGGTGAGGCACGGTGTAGCGTGATGTAACACGGTGTGGCATGATGTAGCACGGTGTAGCACGGTGTAGCGCAATGTATCACGATGTATCACGATGTAGCGCAATGTATCACGATGTAGCATGATGTATCACGATGTATCATGATGTAGCACAAAGGGAGAACACGAGCACGACGTAGGATGATGTGGCGCAATACAAAGGGAGAACAAGAGCCCGATATAGCACATAGACCACTACCCCATATATGGACTACGTACACACGCCGCACGAATGCGAGGGCGCACGAATGCCTGCCGACGCATGCATACACGGACGCACGCACGCGCGCGTATCACACGCACACTAACACGCGCGCACGCGCACACGCACACACATACACACACGCACACACACACACACACACACACACACACACACACACACACACACACACACAACACACACACACACATACGCGCGCACACGCATCCACGCACGCACGCACGCACACGCAGTATAGAGCTATTTTTGCATAGATAACGATAGATATACATGAATAACTCAGAGCACATAATTACACCTACTGAGCTACGAATTCGATTTCCATCGCAACAATGCGCAAGAGTCGAAGTTTTCAGACAGCGACGAGAAATTACGCAACATCGCAAAACGAAATATTAAATGTGATTAGAGTCTGAGACGTATTCAGATGAGCTGCATTATTTCCAAACTTCGCGATGCTGGGAGAATCGAACTCATCTCCACTGAAAAACCCTTAGGGGGTTAACTTCGTTATTGAATACAGGGGAAAACTAAGAAGTAGTTAGTTATGGATAGTTACAATATAACAAGAGGATAGTTAGGGGAGATATAGCCGTATAAAAATGACTCGGGGAATATAATCATGTCATAAGAAGTTAGTTAGAGAATCGAATAACTACCCAACCACATACTCTGTAACTCCTTATACTCAGCTAGACTATATATAGCGGAGTAAGGAGAGGTTAGTTAGAGAATATAATGACAATTTAGCTATATATTCCGTAACTTACTCACGCGCATATATGCTTGGCGTATAGCTGGCGTTACCCATTGTATTGCTCAAACACATGCGCGCGCGCACGCACGCACGCACGCACGCCTGCACACACGCATGCACGCACGCACGCACGCACGCACGCACACACGCACGCACACACGCACGCACGCACGCACATACGGTGAAGCGAAAAAACGAGTAAAAAATGCGAAGGATCCAGAAAATATGCAACGCCATTCTAGTGTGAAGCACACAAAGGCTTTCATATAGCCGGAAGTAGAGAATGCGTGCGATTCTACTAGTATAAAGGAAAGGTACGAATGGATTCGCACACGCGTAATTTCTAAAGCCTACCTTACTTGGCTTCAATTATTATTCGATTAAACAACTATATAACGATGTATTGAAAGTAGGGATTTTGTAATATTCATACACGCGCACGCGCACACGCACACAGGAGTTGACACTCACACGCATGCACGCACGCACGCACGCACGCACGCACGCGCTCACACACGCACAGCACGTCCCCCGCACTGCCACAAATCACCTCTGGGTGCAGGTAATTACCAATCGCTACTGGCAGATTCAATTAGCTCACACGTAGCATTACTTAGGGTCAAATGAAACCCATTACGGCTCAATTTGGCAGCAAAATGCACGAACTCGCGACGGCAGGCATCATTGCGCGCTTAACCACGTCAGACACGAGGTGCGAGCGAGAGTAGGAGATCACTTATAGCACACATGTACATACATACGTACAAACCAGCAGCACACCATCATTGATAGCACGCCAGCCCGACGAGGCTGTGCGACTGATTGTCTATACAGCCTGACACCCTTCCATGCCAAAAACCTATCACCTATGCAGATCTAGATGAATAACTCTGTATACCTCAAATAAAACTATCTATAGAATGATTGTCCCAGAGAGGGACTAATAATACCCCCCCCCCCCCCCGCTTCGAGCTGTTATGATGCCTGTATGTGTATTGTAGAATTTGTCAACGAACGACTTTATGGGAAAAATCAGCTGCCACAAAAGGCGCAAGCAAACGCAGAGTGAAACATGAACGTCAAGCACATACACACGCACGCACGCACGCACAAACAGACACACACACACACAACTTTTTTTTAATTACAATTGGCTACGGATCCGGTTACCGGACGCCCAGCTCCCAGACTACGCGTCCGGTCATATATATATATTTCTTATGTGAACCGAACTATATTTTTTTCAGTAAAAAACAATAAACAATAAGTTTTTACCATACTATTACTTACATTTAGGTATTTTATCAAAAAAAATGTGTTTTTATAACTTTTGAAGCAATAGTAAATCCAGTAAAATCAACGATTTGAAAGGGGGCGTGGCCTAATCGTGACGTGAATTTGGCAATCTGTGCTGAGCTTTGTAATGGACGACCAGACGCGTAGCCACTGCGTTTTTTTTAATTCAATAAAAAGTATGCATGAGCGTTACGCGCGTGCGTGTGCGCTGTTTTTTTGTAAGTACGAAGTTTTGTTTTTCTCAGGAGCACATCTTGTTCGCGGGTGGTTTCACATATATGAAGCGTAAAAAACTCGTAAGCAAAAAACTTCGTAATTTGTAAGACGCTGACAAAGTCTACAAAATCAATTAAGCTAACGATGTGCCCGCTATGAATTCACGGACAGGCACACCTGCTCGCACGCACGCACGCACGCACGCACGCACACACGCACGCACACAAGCTTACATAAACGCACACACTCGCGCACGCGCACACACACCCACGCACATGCACGCGTGCTTTCACACGCACGCACACACACAGGTACGCGCACACACATGCACACACACGCGCACGCACGCACACACACACGCGCACGCGTGCCGCATTAGATGCGCCGTAACTGCCGTGTGTGTGCGTGCGTGCGTGCGTGCGTGTGTGCGTGTGCGTGTATGTATGTACGTGCGTGCGTGCGTGCGTGCGTGTCTGTGTGTGTGAGCAGGTGCGTGCGTGTCTGTGTGTGAGCAGGTGTATACGTGCGTGCGTGCGTGTCCGTGTGTGAGCAGGTGTGTGCGCGCGTGCGTGTCTGCATGTGTGTGTATTCAGTACGCGTGTGTCGCCGCCGTCATGCAGGTATACTACTATCTCCGATGATCATCGGACATTGATTTCACTGTGAGCTTCATGCAGCTTTTGAAGTATCGTCGTTGTAGTGGCGCTGCCACCGTCGCGCGCCACGAATAAATAATAGATCAGCGAACATTTTTGCGCAACGCAAATGGATGCTATACACTTTACCGCGATATGTAGCCGCCGTCGTCGGCGGCGGCGGCGGCAGCGCTGCATGGCTCCCCAGACACGGCCACAGATCTCATTTATACCACCCACGCAGCATCACGCTCGCTCGCTAGCTCGCAGATCAAATCTCAAATCCGTCCCACATGCATTATTATAATATACCCACACATCCTACGCCGTCACTTTTATTTGTTATATTATATTATATTATATATATATATATATTTTTTATTATAGTTATAATTTTTTTATTTTAGTTAATATTTATTAGCTTAATTAGTAATTAGTATATAGCTAATTAGTAATGCCGGTTTTTATCCACTATGCTGCACACCCATCCAATTACGCCCTAATTTTCACATTTCGAGCAGCACACACTCGTCCAAACATCTTACGTCGTCAGTTTTATATTAAGTCATTATCATAATTCATCGACATGTTGCGCACCCTAGCGAACAAGCTTGGAGTCTCGTGGTAGTATTTAACTACTAATCACACAGCTGATGACGTGTGGTAATTAATACATAATTGCTCTTTCCGCTTCGCACTAGTGCTTGTTTTCCGACCGTGCATGTTTGCTAGAACTGTTTACAGTACACATCCGATATTTATACACTGTACACCTGGCATGTTTAATTTTCTTTTCAAGAGAGAGAAAGTCAAAAGCACGCACTTTTCACATGTAAACAGACTTCGGTTCTTTCATATTACTTCGTAGCCAAAGTATCTGACCTGACTAGGAAACGGAGCTACTGCTCATGCGCAGTGAAAATTGCGTTGAAACTGCCTTATTAGGTCTAATGTATTTTTCAATGGTATAATTATTAGGTTAAATGTTTGCAAAAACGTACTTATCGTTCGATAATAGTGACACAATTGCAACACAACGGAAGCGGAGGCGGAAGTCAAATTCCCCATTTCCTCATTTTTCCCATTCATATAAAAAGGTTTTTCTATTCCAGCACGCCCTATCAAATGAAGCCTTGATGATCAAACGTAGTGGTTTGCCAGGCTTCGTAACTACGGTTTAGGCAGCTCAGCTATATACACGACTTGGATAGATAGGTTGTCCAGAGATAGAGCGAGCACGTCTATGAACCCTAGTGATTACAGACTATAGCATGTTTAGGCAGCTCAACTATCAACGACTTAGATAGATAGGTTGACCAGAGACGGAGAAAGACACCAGAACCTTGACAGAGCGAGTACGTCTATGAAACCCTAGTGATTACAGACTATTGCATGTTTAGGCAGCTCAACTATCCACGACTTAGATAGATAGGTTGACCAGAGACGGAGAAAGACACCAGAACCTTGACAGAGCGAGTACGTCTATGAAACCCTAGTGATTACAGACTATTGCATGTTTAGGCAGCTCAACTATCCACGACTTAGATAGATAGGTTGACCAGAGACGGAGAAAGACACCAGAACCTTGACAGAGCGAGTACGTCTATGAAACCCTAGTGATTACAGACTATTGCATGTTTAGGCAGCTCAACTATCCACGACTTAGATAGATAGGTTGACCAGAGACGGAGAAAGACACCAGAACCTTGACAGAGCGAGTACGTCTATGAAACCCTAGTGATTACAGACTATTGCATGTTTAGGCAGCTCAACTATCCACGACTTAGATAGATAGGTTGACCAGAGACGGAGAAAGACACCAGAACCTTGACAGAGCGAGTACGTCTATGAAACCCTAGTGATTACAGACTATTGCATGTTTAGGCAGCTCAACTATCCACGACTTAGATAGATAGGTTGACCAGAGACGGAGAAAGACACCAGAACCTTGACAGAGCGAGTACGTCTATGAAACCCTA